TGTGTTTACAGCGCCGGTATTTCAAATTGTAAAATGTAGAGAGGGAAGAATCATAAGAATTGAAAGGTTGCCAATTACTACTATGGGGAAGGAAGCCATCCTGAAGGTTGCTGAACGAGTCTCCGTGGTAGAAAGCAGAAGGATTCCACAGGAACTTCTGGCTCTGACGGGTAATTTACAATTTACAAATTTATAAAATCATTGATCAGGAGTGAAAACATTTCATTCAATGCATATGGTTCTGCATAGATACAACCAGGAGTCTATCAATATTGATAGACTCCTGATACAACTATAGACAGAGTGCACTCACGGAGAATGCATACCTCCGCTAGCAACATGCTCGCTCGCTCGTAGCAGCTGCTCGTTGCTGCTGCTCGCTCACATGTACACGCTCGCTGGCTCGCTGCGCTGGCTGGCTGGCTCGCTGACTCGACGCGCTAATATCGATCACGCGAACACACGAACACACTAACGCACGAGAGCGACCACATAACCTCCTCCAACTCCGTTGGGCGGAGGTAATAATGTAACCCAACAAGAGTAGGGTTACAACGCGAGCCTATTCTTTTCTTTGGAGGAGGCCCTGAGTGATTCACTCAGGGCGGTTAAATATGGTGCGTTTTTCGAGACTAGAATTTCCAAACTGGGTTTATTCTAAACACGAACCTTTCTCCGCTATCATAATCCTGGAACTTACTATAAGTATGTATCACAATACTCTGTATTAAACTAATATAAACTGTTACAAAATTTCGAAGCGACGAGCGGCATTCCCAATGCGCATACTCATAGCATTCGGCTAACCACAGCTCCTGTGTTGCCTGACATGCTGGCTCTGGTGACGTCAGGACTGACAGCTGGCATCCCATGATCCGAAGTTAGTCGAACGCTATGCGCATCCAGTAAGGAATAAACATCCAGGGCTATATAGCTAGCCATGGGGTGTGACCTAGCTTGGGTAAAGCCAGGTAGTTAGCCTTTTTTAGCCGAATGGCACTGAGGGTGGTCACAGCCAGAGTTTATAGTAACAGGTTATATTACTATTAGTTTAATACAGAGTATTGTGATACATAGTAAGTCCCAGGATAGCGGAGAAAGGTTCGTGTTTAGAATAAACACAGTTTGGAAGT